AGAGGACCCAACCACATCAGCCACACCATCAAGGGCTCATTCACCTGCACGTCTACTAATGTGATATATGCCATCATGTGCCAGCAATGCCCCTCTGCCATGTACATTGGCCAAATTGGACAGTCCCTACGTAAAAGAATAAATGGACACAAATCGGACATCAAGAATGGTAACATACAAAAGCCAGTAGGTGAACACTTCAATCTCCCTGGACAGTCTATAACAGATTTAAAAGTCACTGTTCTTGAACAAAAAAACTTCAGAAACAGACTTCCAAGAGAAACAGCAGAACTAAAATTCATTTGCAAATTTAACACCATTAATTTGGGCTTGAATAGGGACTGGGAGGGGCTGGCTCATTACAGAAGCAGCTTTGCCTCTCCTGGAATTGACACCCCCTCATCTATTATTGGGAGTGGACCACATCCACCCTGATTGAATTGGCCCTGTCAACACTGGTTCTCCACTTGTGAGGTAACTCCCTTCTCTTCATGTGTCACTACAGCGCCCATTTCACCTTGTGGCTCTTTGAATCCGACCCCGCCCGCTGCCCCCTGGCCAAACCCAGATTGCGCCCTCTCCCCCCTCCACACCCAAAACCGGTCTGCTTCCCTTCCCCTCCCCAGCCAAACCCAATCCTCCCAGACAGTGACTGAACCCTGTCTGATTCGTCTGCTCCCCTTGCACTCCCGAGCCAAACCTGAACCCCCACTGACCGAACCCAGTCTGCTTCACTTCCCTTCCCTTCCCTATCAAACCTGATTCCCTCTCTGATTGAACCCAGTCTGCTTCCCTTCCCCACCTAACCCGATACCCCACTGACTCCACCCGGTCTGCTCCCTTCCCCACCAAACCCAATCCCCCAGTATGACGGAGTATCCGCCATTCTAATTTTATAAACACAACAAGGAGTCCGGTGGCACCTTAAAGACTAACAGATTTATTTGGGCATAAGCTTTTGTGGTAAAAAGCCCTGTGAAAAAATGCTTCTTCAGATGCATAGAGTGAAAGTTACAGATGCAGGCATTACCTGATACTAATATCCAAACCCAAACCAAACAAACCCCCGGCAATTCCATCCTGTGGAACCGTACTGACTCCCATCTGGCTCATCAACTGCACGACAACTCCAAGAAGGCACCACAGCAGGCTTTTTTTTTCAGCTGAAAAACCAAAATATTTTAGATTTTGGGCTACGACATAAAATCAACATTTTCTGCACAAAGCAGGCATTTTTTGTAAAATCTTTTAGTCAATGTCACAGCCTCAGTCAACATCCCTCTGGGGTTAGACTACTTGATACCCCTTCTTGGAAGTGACCTCAGCCTGATGGCCACTGCTGAACCCCCACAAGCAAGCTCACCCTCTCCACAGCTCCACCCTCCCCTTGGGGACTCTGGTTTACAGTTTAACCCTTCTTGGAACCCTTGAGGAAGCCAATAAGACACTTTGCAGAGGGATTTCTAAACCAGTCCTGTATTGCCAACCCCCAGGGCTCAAAAACCATGTGTCTGTCCCGCACCCCAATGAGATTTAAGGGGAGGGGATTATATTGTATTTTTTGTATCTGTCTTTTGATTTTTGACCTCCCATTCTCCATATCCTGTGTGTGTGTGTGTGTGTGAGTGAGAGAGAGAGACAATGAAATAGCATTGCCAACACTCCCATATTTATTAAGGCGATTTTCGCCCCTGCTGCAAGAACTCTCACTCCCACATCTGCCCCAGCCTCACCTCTGCTCTATCTGCAGCTCCTGGGGCTCTTCACTACTCTCTCCCTGGAAAGGGGGCGGGTTCATCAGGTCCTCCTTCTAGGCTAGGGGCAGCTCCAGGGACTCTTCATCCCCTGTTGCCCCTTCCCAGGCCAGGTGTTACCGGGAGAGAGGAGGAGCAGAGGAGTCATCCCCATTGCTCACGGGGGACAGGGAGCCACCCCGAGCTGCAAGGCTCTTTCCTCCCTTCTCCCTCCTCCGAGAATGGCATCAGCTCCTGAGGAGAGGGGGAAGTGAGCTCTGCCTGTCTCATGCAGCAGCTCTGCTTCCCCGCTCTTCCCCCAAGAAGAGCTGACATTCCCCAGGAAGCTGGAGCTTCTTATGATGTTATCACCAGACTGGCTGCAACCCCAGCCCAACTCTTGTGAATCAGGGAGATATTGCAAGCAGGGCCGCTGAGAGCGCATTCGGGCCCCAATGAAAAAAAAATTTGGGCCCCCCCCCCCCCCCAGCAAGGGCGGACCGGCTAAACAGGGCTGATGAGAGGGCAGGGAAGCCGGGCCCTGGTAATTTGTACTGACTTCCCCCCCCGTCTCGTCGGCCCTGATTGCGAGAGTTGGCAGCACTGCCAATCACACTTTCTTTTCAACAGCACAAGCAAGGTACACGGTACACCTCCATGCAAAATACAGGACACTTGTATGTCATTCCCTGCCTCAGTTTCCTCACCACTCTGGAATGTACCCACTCCTGCATGTCACTCCACCAGCACAGGGGTCTCTTTCTGTTCTGGTTGACGAGGGAAAGCGCGTGCTGCTGTAAGCAGTCCTGGTCTTTTGATAACTTGCAGTCCCCTCTACTGTGGAAAACCTTGTGGTCAGCCTGAAATCATTCCCTCAGGAGATCAAGATCACACGTCATGTGGACTGTGGTTGGTTACCACCCACCTGGAGTCCTGACTCAAAAAACAGGCTCTAACTAGGCTATTGCCCCGCCAGCCCCGGTGTTCTGACTAGTTGTAGATCATCTTGAAGGATAATCAAACTCAGAGGCACACCCACAAGCATCCACCCTCCTTTTCACAATTAGTATGGTGAAAGAAGGACAGCAAGACATCCATGAAATAGTCCCCAAAGTTCTCTTGCCTCCAGATTAAATAAACAAATGCTGAGTCCCTGTGTCACCTGGGAAAACAAAATATCTGGTGCCTCCTTTCTTTCAGAGGGAAATAGCACAATTCCAATAACCTTCTCCTCAGGATTTAAACAAAATCTCTAGGTTCTATGTCCTTCAGAGAAGAGATATGGGAAAAGTTCCACACAATATTTAATGACAGGTTTCAGAGTAACAGCCGTGTTAGTCTGTATCCGCAAAAAGAAGAACAGGAGTACTTGTGGCACCTTAGAGACTAATAAATTTGTTAGTCTCTAAGGTGCCACAAGTACTCCTGTTCTTCTTTTTACAATATTTAATAAAGTCTCCAATTTTTTCTTCCTTCATAGAAAAGGCAGAAGGAAATTCCAAACAGACCTTAAACAAATGAATGAGCATCTTAGAAAAAGCCCCTCTGTGGCCCATCAGTTTCATACTGATAGCTAGCCAAGGTCAGATCCCAGAAGCTAACTTCCTCTTCCTGTTACCTGCCCCAGCCTGGCTCCCTGGGAGGCCAGTCAGCTCCAGCTGTTTCTTGACTCCCTGCATCAAACCCTATCCTGGAGTTTCCTGACCCAGCTACTCTTCTGACCTTCCTGAGCCCCAGACGGGTAGCAAATTATTCTTGTTACACAAGAATCTTTATTATTTGCATAGCAGGGTCCTCCATTTTGTTAGAAATAGTTTAAAAAGTAAATACCCCATTGTGAAAGAGTGATTATATATTTATATTACTTTATATATATATAAAATTTTGCAAAAATATAAATTTCTTCAAAACATAACACAGTTCTAGAGTTTTGATGAAATTGGACAAGTCCTTCAAACAACAGTAAGAAGTGCAGCAGCTTAAATAGCTCAACTGGCAGAGTCCACACCTCAAAATGGATGCTGAAAATTGGAATATGTTCAGAAAAGAACTACAAGAATATTTTGAGGTCTGGAGGACATACCACATTATGAGACACTTAAGGTCAACCTGATTAGTTTATCCAAGAAAAGGTTTAGAGTTGAGTTGATCACAGTCTACATCTACCTACATGGGTAACACTCTCCATCACGGCATCTTTAAATTAAGACTGGTGGTTTTTCTGAATGATATGCTATACATAGCTAAGACAGAAGTTATGGGCTTGATGAAGAATTTAATAGGGGAGGTTCTTTGGCCTGTGATCAGTGTTTCCCATATGGTGGATCCTGACCCACCTGTGGGTCATGGAAAGTTACAGATCGGTTACCATGTCCAGGGCCAGAATTGGCCTACACAAACATATACGTCTCCCTGCACAGCCAGTTTGGAGGGGAAGCCCTGGGGGAGGGTGCAGGCTTGGAGAGCAAGCCCTCCCATTACTCACCCCACAGCAGCTGGGGCAGGCTTTCTTTCCAAATCCTGTCTCTGGTGGGGCTTCCCTCAACACCAGGCTGGGACTAGGGTTTTGGAGCCAGGCAGAGGGTGCACATATGTAATAATGGATTAACAAAAAAAAAAAAAAAGTAAAAGAAAATGCAGCTGGTGGGTTGCCTAGTGCAGTGTTTGGGAACCACTGTGCTAGATGATCATAATGGTCCCATGTGGCCATAAAACTGATAAATCTGTTATCCAGTCCCATGTCTTGTCAGATCTCTCAGCTATGAAATAAAACACCACTAGATTATCCTATCTCTGTTCTGAGATTATTTATGCGATTGGTGAAAGTATAAAATTAAGGTCCCAATCCTACAAAAATTTAAGCACGTGTACAACTTTATTCATGTGAATTCAATGGGCCTTCTCATGTGATTAAAGTTATTCACATTCACTTTTCCCTAGCTGCACTCCGTCCATTAGTCATGGCTACGGTGGCTCTATGGCAGTGGAGAAGGATTCACAAGGGGCTGAATACACCAGATTTAGGGCAGATTTGTGTTGGAGGATCATTGAAAATATACAGCAGAGGTAACCTCTGACAAATTGTGTCTTATCTTTCCAGGAGTATAAGAATGATAATTATATTTTATGACTAACAAAAATATCCTGTGGATTGCATTCTAATTAGTGATGCAAGATACCTTTAAGAAATCGTACACCTAATAATTTCGACATCTGATAATGCTAGCGGGCATTGCAAATGCTTTATATTCCAGCACCTTGCAAGACACCACACCAAACATCTAGCAAGTTTCAAACTTCTTCTCTACAGCCAGGTAAGCATTTCTTCTGTGTAAATTTACAGTTTTAGTTACTGTTATGATTTGTGAAGGGAATTTTTGTAAGTCCTTTTGCTATACCCAGTCCATTTTAGGATTGCACAGATTAGTCCAGCTGTCCAGAATTTTACATCCCCAGTGGAACGTGTGCCAATGGTGCAAGGCTGGGGTTCAGGAATCTATTCCTGACTCTGCCATTATATTCCAGTGTGACTGTGGGCAAGGCACTTTGGCAGAATTTTCAGATGTGGGTGTCTAAAGGTAATAATTTTAACCCAGATTTATGTACCTAAATAAACAGCATGCTTTTCAGAAGCACTGAGGCCCACACATCCTGTTGGTTTAAGGTAAGTTGATGCATTTATATCAGTGTAAGAGCAAAATTTGGCTGGCAGAATTCACATAAGATGTTGCAGGTGTCACCACTTTCCAAAGCATATCACATTGCTACATAAAACCATCAACTCTTGTGAAATCTGTAATTTGCCAGGTTTTGATTAGGAAAAAAAATTCTCAGCAATCTTCTTACTTTTTCCATAACAAAGCATGTTGTACTAACAATAATACACAAACTTTTCTTCTCAATTTCAGACATCAGTAAATCTGTGTATATTTTTTAAAAGAGTCTGAGATGGAAACAAAATATTTGAAGTAAGAAAATCATATAATGAAGGACTGGAAGAGAACTGAACAGGTCATCTAGTCCAGTCTCCTGCCCCGAGGCAGAACTGAGTATTATCTAGGTCATCCCTGACAGGTGTTTGTTTAACCCGTTCTTAAAAACTCAGTGATGGGGTGTCAGTCCATGATTTGTTCCACCTTGCGTGATGCTGGGAGAACTTTCCCAGACCCGAAGAAGAGCTCTGTGTGGCTCAAAAGCCTGTCTCGCTCACCAACAGAAGTTGGTCCAATAAAAGATATTACCTTGCCCACCTTGTCTCTCTAATATCCTTCAGTTAGGAAATTTTTCCTAATGTTAAATCTAAATCTCCCTTGCTGCCATTTAAGTCCATTACTTCTTGTCCTGTCCTCAGTGGCTAAAGAGAACAATTTATCACTCTCCTCCTTATAACCATCTTTTACGTACTTGAAGACTGTGATCATGTCCCTCGTCAGTATTCTCTTCTCCACACTAAACAACCCAACTTTTTCAATCTTCCCTCATAGATCATGTTTTCTAGATGTTTAATCTTTTTTTTTCTCTTCTCTGGACTTTTTCCAATTTGTCCATATCTTTCCCAAAGTGTGGTGCTCAGAACTGGACAAAATATTCCACTTGGGGCCTTATGAGTGTTGAGTAGAGTGGAAAAATTATTTCTCATGTCTTTCTTACAAAATGAAAGGTGATGTTGTATAACACAATTTCAGAGGAAGAGTGGATTAGAATTTGGAAAGGGAAAACCATTACATCATCCACTTGTGTAGTGAAGAAGAAAGGGGGACTCACATTCAAGTCCCTGCTCCAATGACTATTTAATTTATACAAAGTGGAACAGCTTCAGTGGGAGAGACTCACTCCAGTGTACCTGATTGCCATAAAGACTAGGCTATCTCCTAATTGGTGAGAGATTCAAATTGAACTCTCTGTTCCAAACCAGGGAAAGGGGAGAATTGAACCTGGGTCTCCCACATTCAGGTGAATGCCCTAACCTTCAGATAGAAGGGAGAGCACCACAACCTATATACTGGGCTAAAGCTATAGGGGGCAAGGAGGACATCACCAACCACTTAACGAATCCAACCTGAAAATCTTTTTTTGGCCCAAACTCTGGCAAATTTATGTCAAATTCACAAATAGTTTCAGGTCAACCAGGATTACATTTTTTAGCAGATAAACTATTTGTCAGAAAAACTTCACCTGCTTCTTTTTTTATCAAGTTGTGAAAGTCTTGAAATAGCTACCTGGAAGATATCAAGGGTGTCCCTTTTCCGAGTTAATGGAGATGGGTTAGAGTATAATCTTCCTCTCAGTCAATCTCAATTAGAAAATGTATTGCACTAGATAGACGTTCACACATCTTACACAGTGTATATTTCTTTTATAATAGAATAAGCTGATTCAGTCATATCTTACCATATATTAATCAAATCATTTTCTACACATTGTCTGTTGCTGTTACCTAGACACCAGGGGTCAAATTAGGCTCTCATTCACACCTGTGTATATCTGGATTAACTCCTCCGAAGTTACTCTTGATATATCTGGGTGCAAAAGAGAGTCTAATGTGGCCCTGATCAAATACAAACAGAAATTGGAGCATCCAAGAATCCCTCTCAGGAAGCCTGATTTTGAACTCATACTGCAGTAAATCATGAGTAACTCCCCTGAAGTCAGATGGGGAGATGCATCAGCATTTTTCATTGCTCTAAGAAACTGTGTTGTTAGAAGATTTTACTCATTGTAGCGTTGTACATTAGCCGTAGAAGTGGAAGAAAAAGGATAGTTTCAATTTCCTGAGTGGAGAATTAGAGATGAGGCAGTTTTCTTAATGAGAATTCTCTTTTTAAAAGTCTGTATTGCAATCTTCCCAAAACTTATGCCCATGCCCACCCTGAGGCTAGACATGTGTGTATAACTAGCAAGAAAGCCACTGAAACCTTCGGATGCAGTAAGAGGTTGAGAAAAGAGACTTTTGAACTCTATTGATTTGGTTTATTTTTTTCCTCAGCAGCTTTTCATTTTCACAATGAGCTCCGTCAGTGAAGCAACTACAAAATTTGCCCTTGACTTTTTCAAAGAACTGAACAAAGATCGTCCATCTGACAATATCATCTATTCTCCTTTGAGTATCTCAGCTGCCCTGGGCATGGTCCTTTTGGGGGCCAGAAGTAATACTGCCACCCAGATAGAAATGGTAGGCAATAATAAGTCATTTGTTTTATTCCTTCATATTTGTTCAACAATGGCAGACCATTCCCACGTGCAATGTCACCTGAGCTCCTCAAGGCTCTTCTTTTAACGCAGAGCATTTTCCTTTTCCATGTGTAATATATCCTGCACAAGTAGCAATTGCCCTAGTTAAGGTCTCAAAGGCACTTTTATATTGAATGGAATTAAACTTTATGGAGTTGAAAAGGTGCCTGGCAGAAGTTGCAGGCTGAGAACATTATTATAAACTGGAAATAACATTTCCAGTCCAAGAGCAAGAGGTTTTCCCCCTCAAGCCCTGATCCTGCAAACTGCTCCATTCATGAGTGTCATTACGTACATGAGTAGTGCATAATAGTACTTGGGTGTGTTATTGTTTGTGAGATATGGCCTATGGGGCAGCTTCACTTACTTTCTGCCTAGGCTGGTCTAATTTGGCCCATAGAAATGTTTCCAACCTCTCACGTTCACTTTAGACATACATTTCTGTTGTAACGTTATTGTGCACTGCCTGGTGTCTCTGATTTTAAAGGCATTTTAATTTATTTTGTTTTGGTGACATTTTTGTGTTCTGCATTGTACCAAAAGAGAGATACGTAGAGTAAATGGTTATTTCAGAAATGTGTGTATCTCAGATGCAGGGTCCTTTTTAGTTGCTTACTATGAACGTGCTGAGCATCAGATTTACTTGTGCTGAAGTGTCACAATTTTGGGTCATAGTTATAAAAAAATAAATTGAACATCTAGTTTGGCAAAAGTATTAACTTATTTCTGATCCTATGAGCCTGTGGGAGTCACCTTTTTTGATTGGAAAATTATTTGTACTGCTCAAGCTTGATTGCACAGGAGTTAGTACTAATCAAGAATCATGTATCATCAGCCTTTGAATAAATCAACTGTCATCATTTGAGCTTTGAGATGGATATTTTGCTTTGAAGGCTAGAAGTGTGACCCAATACAGTTAGCAGATGTAAAGGGATCTGCAGACGAGAGGAATGAAATTAAAAAAAAACACACAGGTTCCAATGATGCCGGCACAGAAGTCAATGGCAAAACTCATGTCCCCTTAAATATGGGCAGCAACTAATTCTATATTTGACAAACAAACACTGCATTTGTTGGAATTAAACCTAGCAAACTATGAAAGCATTTCCATTGATCTTCAGATTGTTCCTTTCATTTAGGTTTTGTAAAAAATAAGCTTTTATCCAAGTCCCAATCCTGTGATATGATCCACTATTGCAGATCCCTGCATGCCTGCAGAACCCTACTGAATTTATTGCCCGATTGCAGCACAGTGTAAAAAGATCTAACAAGCTGAATATTATGGGCAGAAATAGGAAGTGATTACCAAAATCATAGAAATATAGCTCTCCTTTCTAGTGATTTTGAGTAGTATTCATCAAATGGCTTGCTGATTTTGATGTCAGTGGATGAACTGGAGCATCTAGTGATAAAAGTTGAGAACACTTGTCTTTTAAAAGCGTGATGTCCATCTCCAGTAGAAAGGACAGTAGGTAAGACAGACAACTGAATTTTCTGTGACAAGTTTAATTTCACAGATTGTCATAAGTAATTCAATACAGTGTATGACTGTTGCAATGTTACATTTCTACTTCAGGCACTTCACTTCCTTCAATTTGCAGAACATGAAAATCCAGGAACAGGAAGCTCTTCTGAAGCAACAAGAAGTGATGACAATTCAGAGAGAAGTCACAGACGACCTCTTCATCCCGGACTGCTGGTATCTTAGAACAAATGTTGGAGTTGGAGAAACTTTGGGGAATTTGAATGAAAATTCAAAATTGTCAGATTTGAATTATAACATAAAAATGGGGGGGGGGGAGGAATGTTGTGACGGTGGGTGACAGAAGAATAGGGAGAAGGATAAAAATGTATACAAGATAGCAAAAAGTAAGGTTTAGGGGTTTTTATTGAAAATATTGTACAATTATATGCTTGATTTGTGGATGCAATAGTCATAACGTCATTTACATGTGATGAGTTCAGTTTGCATCTTGTTATTTTAACAAACTTCTACCATGATTGTGAGCACATTTGCATGTATAAATCAGACATACAGAAAGCATTGGAAATTCTTCTACCCTGAACATTTTTCATTGTTCAACAAATTTTCACGTGTGGTGCTCCATAAGTAACGAGTGGAACATCCCGAAAGAGCCATGAATTACTTAGTCCTTATAACAGGGCTTTTGCGCCACAGATCTGCACTGTCAGGAACAAGAACAAGTCAGAGAAGGCAAAGCTAGTTTAGTTATTGAATCTGAATGGTTTAATAGGAGAACAATTATTAAAAACAAAACAACAAAAAATAACCAGTGTCTGTCACTCCCAGCCTTCTTCAGTCAGAAATAAACTACAGCAACTTTGTGTTATTTGAAGGTTCCTGATGATCAGTGTGATATACCCGGAGGGATTCATTCCCAGTTTCATGACATCTTCTCAGCAATCAACAAACCTACCACTTCTTACGAGCTGGCTATTGCCAACAGACTGTATGGAGAAAAGACATTCAATTTTCTTCAGGTGAGTTGCATTGGGATTCACATTAATGGCCTGTGACATTGTAGGACAGATAGAGATGAACAACATGGGCTTAGTTCAGTTGAGGTCCCATTTCCTGCTGACTTGATAGGAGGTGTGTCCACTTAGACAAGGGGTGGAGTTGATCCCCTGGAGGTACTGAATAGTAGGGCAGAACAGCCAATCATCTTAAAATAAATCATGTGGTTCCAGAATAGAATGTTTAAGATAACTTTAAAGCCTTAGTTACAGGCTCTGCTCATTTCCCTCTGGTCACAGGAGCATTGGAACCTGGTCACAGGAGCATTGTAATTAGGTGTGTTGAACAGCATTGAAAGTATAATTTCTAAGTGTTTGATATCACTATTTGTATTTTGGCAGTGCCTAGAGGCCAGGGTCTCATTGGACTAGACACTGTACAAAATATAATAAAGAGACAATGTTATGTATGCCTGTCCCTCAAAAGCTGTTTTATACAGTACACTGTTACCCATGTTTTTCTTCAGCTTTGTAACTATTAAATTACTTCCATCTATCAACAGCAAAATAAAGTTCAAAGGGTGGCTATAATAAAAAAAAACTATTTAATCGTGGCACCAGCTTACACAACAGATACATATTTGGAGTTATATCTGCTTATTTGACTGACAAAGTTAAGATTTAATGCTTTCTATTCTTGTTAGCACTCTAGAATAACACAGTGATGGGAAAGTGAGCTAGAATTATTCTGGCTCATGCATCTTCAATAGAATTACTAACTATGTTCTGGGATGAATTATTCCTCCAGAAAGTTTCATGCTACCTTTTTAACCAGTTAATTTCATGTTATTTACAAGGTCTCACCATTTGATTTGTGTGAAATTTCATACACCCAAAAACTGCTCACAAATCATCTTTCAAAATTTACTTCTAGTTTTAAATTTCTTGTGGATTGCAGTAATCTTTAGTTATCTTGGCTGATGGGAAAAAGAAACATTGAGACAGTGCTTCAAAGACATTCATGAATTACTTATAAATATATAGTCAGTGACACATAGGTTAGACAGGGACAGAAGTGGCCAGAGACATCTATATCTCTAGGATAAATTCAGAGTTCTACAGGTAGAACCCTGAATTTAACAGAAAGACCTATAGTGGGTCCTGTTCCACCAGTTTCTCCTGGTTTGCAATCCACCCAGAACGGAAATTAAAATTGAGAGACCTAAGCACTGGCTGCTGCAAGAGGAGGCAGCTTTATCAGATCTGGATCACCCACAGAGTCGGCGCCTATGAGCAGGATTCCAACCAAAACATGCCAACATCCCACTGGACTATAGCTAGTGCATTTCCCCCCACGACCCCTCAGCCGTATCTTTTGGAGCTGTAGTTTAGGCATTGTCGGCAGGGCCGGATTTACACCTTATGCGTTCCTAGGCACAGCATCTTCAGTGCTCCCCCTGCCTACAGCTGACCTCTGTGTTGCACAAAATTTTAGAGAGGTAAGGTGCCCCTAGTACTCTGGTGCTCCTAGGCATGTGCCTAATTGAAAATCTGGCCCTGATTTTCGGGGTCTCCGGGCTTTTCGGTGTGCACAGTTTTGTGTGACTCAGATCCCTCTCGGATGTCCACATGCACTTGGGCGCCGGTCTGAGTCTCGATGGCTCCGGCTTCCACTGTCAGGGGTTTCATCTGCTCCTGGTCTGGAGCCAACAAGGAGCATCCTTCCTCCCCGGAAGTCAGCACAGACTGAACTGGGGTGCTCCCTTTTATACTAGTGCTGCATCTGGAGCATGCCCAGTAGGGATGTGGGGGCATGGCTTCCTCAGCCCACGGTGAAGAGTTAACTCTTCCCCATCCAGTGCAAGGTGAGTTCATCCCGTCACAGACTGTTTTATCCAAACTCTCCAAACCTATCAAGCCCTTTGCCTATGCTATACCCAACTGGTCCAGTTCATTCTGTTAGTCCACCCTATCTTTAGGATATACAAAAACACTTTTGCAGTGTTGCAGAACTAAAAAACAGGAATATTTTATTTTATTTAGCACACAGTCTAAAAAAAAAAAAAAAAGAAGAGAGAGACCTGTTTTCTGATGTATTGTTCTGACATTCTCTCTTATCATACAGCAATACCTATCCTGCATACAAAAGTTATACCAGGCAGAATTGGAACCAGTTGATTTTCAGAATGCTGCAGAGGAAACCAGAGAACAGATAAATTTGTGGGTTGAAACCTTTACAAATGGTAAGGACAGGTCAGCCATTGGCTGCTATTACTTGATATTTAATCGCTTAAAGTGTACAAGGTGCTTAAGAACCTGGAGGAGAAAAATGTTTCCTCATAATTGGAACATGCCCAGTATGGGGCTGCAGTGGCAGCTCTCCACACTTTGACCACTTGAGTGATGTAGAGCTAGATCATTAATTCCCACAGAGAAAACATATTTGAGGAGAACAGAGTAGCCAGCAAACTCTGGACTCTAGTACAACACACATTGAAATCAATAGGAATTCTTCTGACAACTTCAGTGGGTGCTGGATGAGACCACCTGTGTGTTTGACTGCATGGAGTTTAAGGAACTATCAAATCAGATGCAAGAGGTATTGGGGGCAAGTAGTGAGGACCTTCTGAAAGTACCTTGATTTATGAGCTCCTCTACAGATAAGGTAAAAGACAGCGCCCTACTTAAAATTTGACCTGGAGCCAAGACTAGACAGGAGAAATAAAGAATAAAATGGCCATTTTAGGAGACATCTACTCTCCATTGTACACTTGAGGCACATCAGTGGGTCAGTTTCGGGAAAATCATGGTAACACTGCTTGGGTTCCACTAGTTCTGTGAATAGATAGAGGAGTTCAGCTTCTCAGGGCTGTCAGTCAAACATTTTTCATGTGTGTCCAGTATTACATATATATTCTTACACCCAGGTACATACAAGCACTAAACATCAATGTTATTACAACAGATAACTGGAACTAGATTTACTGATCTGCCAAAACAAACTAATTTTCCTCCCTTTCTTTAAGGTAAAATCAAGGATCTCTTTGCCCCACACACTCTTTCTGCTCAGACTATGTTAGTTCTCGTGAATGCTGTCTACTTCAAAGGGAAATGGGAAGTGGAATTTAAGAAAGAAAATACAGAAGAAAGACCTTTTCAGATTAACGAGGTAGATTACAGAAGTACACATCACATAATTGCGCCTATTACTTCACATGCTTGGCAGACTATGAAGCACACTGGGATCTGCTCTGGGGGTGGAGAGGGATTTTTTCCCAAAGCTTCTGCTAGGAGAGTGCATCATGCCTGACACAGGTACAATGCCTCACAAAGCCACCTGGGGCACAGGGGAAGCCAATGTATAAGAAGCTGCAACATCTGCCCCCTCTGTGGCCTGTCAGCTCTTCCAACAGGAATGGAAGTGTTCAGGACATAGCCCCGCTTTCTCCCCATCATAGGCACCAAGTTCCTCTCTACTCCCCTCTGCTTGATCCCTTCTCTGCCCGAGGCCTGCCCCCACTCGACCTCTTCCTGCAAGCCCCCACCCCTGCCCCACTTCTTTCCGTCCTTGCTCTGTCCCATCCCCCCCAACCCCAACCCTTCCCCCAAGGCCCCAGCCCACCTCTTCCTATCCCTCTCCTGAGCATGCCCCATCCCTGCCCCTTCCCCTCCCTCCCAGAGGCTCCTGCATACTGCAAACAGCTGTTCCATAGCATGCTCAGAGGGAGGGGGAGGAGTTGATCAGTGGCAGGGGCGCCTCTATGTTTTTTGCCGCCCCAAGTATGGCAGTCAGGTGGCCTTCAGCGGTGTGCCTGCAGGTGGTCCGCTGGTCACATGGATTTGGCGGCTTTTCTGTGGGTGATCCGCCAGTCCCGCGCCTTCGGCGTACCTGCCGCCGAATTGCCGCCGAAGCCGCGGGACCGGCCTGACTGACTGCCTACCTACCGACCGACATGCCGCCCCCCCCAGCTTGCCATCCCAGGCACGCACTTGCTGCGCTGGTGCCTGGAGCCGCCCCTGATCATTGGGGCTGACCGTGGCTCGGAGGTGCTGGGGAGAAGGAGGGAGGTGGCTGCTGGTGGGTGCTAAGCACTTGCTAATTTTTTTCCATGTATGCTCCAGCCCAGGAGCTCCCATGGCATCAGTGCCTGTGCTCCCCATCCCCTTTGGGGTTGCTGGTGCAGTTAGGTTCACTACCCTTGTATAGTTTTGCACTCAGAAGAGCAAAGACTGACAGGCCCCTGAGCAGAGGCCTACCATAAAGATGCATCTTGTACCTTCCCCCACTACGTACCTAGTTTGGAGCAGTCCACAGTCTGGTATCTAATAATTTTCTACATAGACTTTTAACTGGTTTGCTTGTATTCAGACCTACAATGAGCTGTTTTGCTGCCCTGTTTACAATGACTGCCCCCAAGAGATCCATTTAGTCTGTGTTCAGTTTCCATATTCTGTCACCAGATTGATCTCCCACCTCATTTTCTCATTAAGTTTAAATATTGAAAGGGGGAGTTTGTTTTAGTTTACATTCTGTACACTGTCTCTGTGCTATTCCACCACATGTTGTGTGGGCAATGAATGTAATATAGTCAGCTTCGTATTTGCTTCAATTCAGTTTCACCTTCTGTTTGCCAACCTATTTTTGCTACATGGTGCTAATGTGTGACTATGTTGCGAGGAAAACATTTGTTTAGCTAAAGGAAAATTATTCTTAGTGGAATTTGTTTCCATTACATTGTTTTGTGGATGACTGTTGCTTTTAGGTTTTGTAAATTTCTGGGTCAATTTGACCTGAGAACATGCTATTATATTGAAATTTAAATTAAATGAAAGATGAAAACCTGTAGTTTTAATGCCCTTAACATGGTTCTCAAGCCGGACAACCAAACTGTGATGCACACTATCAGTGGCAACTTCTGAAATTGTTGGTCCTAGGAAATAGCATTAACTGTTCTTCTAAACCTTCTATTCATCTTGGGGTGGGTGCGCCTGCGTGCAGGCATAGGGAGATGATAAATGGTATTTCAGCTTTTAAGGGGCAGGGGAGAAGCAGCATCGTAGAATCCTGGATGATGGGAATGGGCTTTATGGGGTTTCCTAGTCTCCATGTTCCCATACCTCACACTGACTCCTTTCCCTAGATGCAGAGAGGGAGAAAAAACTGTTGTGAGATGTTTGAAGAGGTTCAAGAGGACTTTATACATTTCTTTAGGAGGTGCTAATCTGGCCCTAAACAACTACAGCAGCATTTAGGTCCAAGTGCAGATGTAATACAAGGAAAAACATTTAAATACAAGAGGATACATTGTATGTATTTCATTTGTTACTAATTGTCATTGCTTTCAGACTACAAGCATACCTGTGCAGATGATGTACCATAAGGGCAAGTATAAAATAGCTACGATAGAGGAACATAATTGTCAGGTGCTTGAACTCCCGTACAAGGATGGTGACCTGAGTATGTATATACTGCTGCCAAAAGACTACACGGGTCTAACACAGGTAAAGTTACCTATGATGAGATGATAACCTTATAATCAGAATATGAATATGGCAATGTCTTGTGTATCTCTCATCACCTGAACAGACAGTATAGGAGACAATTACATTTCCTCATCCTTGTTGCAGAGTATGCAGCACGTTGAATAGTAAATCTGAAGGCAGGCTGCTTATGCTGTTCCTGTGTCTATTGAATTTCCAGAAAACAAACAATTAGCCAGCCATTTTATTGTCCAAGTAGGGCACGGTGACAATGTAATTAATAGCTAATTGCTACATTTTTGTATTATCAACCTCTCTAAACAGTTAATACCCACACAGACTAGTCTAAAAAAGAATGAATAATAAATGCAAACAATATAAGTAACACATTGGCAGATCCACAGAGGCTGTCTGCCACATATTGCTGCCAGACTTAACATTTGATCCAGCTCCCTAACCCTTCTCCCATACAATTCAATTGCAAAACACCCATTGACTTCACTGGTGCAGGATCAAGTCCTTTAGCTTTAATGGTAGAGGTCTGAGCACTGAAGTTAAAAGTTGCACCATTGACTCCCACTGGTGACCCAGCATTGTGGTCATTATATTTACATTGATTATAGAATCTTGTTTTCTTTTTTCCAAACACTGGGCAAACACTTATTTGGAAATCTTTAGGGTACAGCTACAGGGAGATAAAAGCCCTGTGGGCTGAGAGGCTAAAAAGTGCTGTGCAGACATTGAGGCTCAGTCTGGAGTCTAAGCTCCGGGACACTGAGGGTGGAGGGTCCCAGGGCTTGGGCTAGAGCCTGAGCCCAAATGTCCACACAGCAATTTTTCAGCCCTGGAACCTGAGCCTTGTGATCCTGAGTCAGCAGACATGGGCCAACCCGGTTTTGTTTTTTTTATTCCCTTTGTAGACATACCCATAGTGAACTTCATGCTTCTGACCTCAGTAGCATTCTAAGAATCATGCCTGCCATGGTTACCACAGTGTGAATGAAAGTCACTTTTCCAACCTTCTCACACAGTTCCATGTCTTGTTGATTTTGATGCGTAACCACAAGATTCTGATTCCCGTGTATCTTTATACCTGTAGCTGGAAGAGGAACTTACCTCTGAGAAATTAACAACTTGGATCAGCCCCTATTATATGAAAGAAGATGAAGTGGCGGTGTCTCTTCCTCAGTTCAAAATTGAGACAGTAGCTCAACTCAACCAATATTTAGAAGCTTTAGGAATAACTGATGTGTTTAGCCATGGATCAGATTTATCTGGAATAGCAGAAGCAGGTGGCCTGTCTGTTAGTGAAGCTGTCCATAAAGCTTATATAGAGGTCAATGAAGAGGGCACTGAGGCAGCTGCTGCAACTGGAATTGGCATAGGTGTGACCTCAGTCAGACCACAAGTAGAGTTTGTGGCTGATCACCCTTTCCTCTTCTTTATCAGACACCAGGAAACTGAATGCATTCTCTTCTATGGTAGATTCTCTTCCCCTTAAGAAAATTTCTAATTAACATGAATGAGATTCTGGACCGCGGAACCATGATATGGAAAATACAATGGAAATGTTTATTTTCTTCGTTTTTCTCTTTTCCTTCCACTGTATCTAGCCAGTGACTCCATAGTTATATACTCATAGCAGGACTCATGTGACATTCTTTTGATGAACGAGTCCTACATTGTCTGTTTCTCTCCCTCACAAGCTTGCTTCTGGTTCCTACTTAAAGAATGTCCCGTTCTCTCAGCACCTGAGGAAGGGCACCTCTGCTAAGTCCCAGCTCAATAGGAATCACCTTGAACCAGAGCTTTGAAAATTACTAGTGAAGTAGAGCTATGAATTTTCTTAATCATCCTGAACTGAATGGATATCGACACAAACATTGACCAAACACTTGCAGTGGAGAACCTGGCCCAGAGTTACAGCAATGTAATGGTGAAGAATCAGGCTCATTGTTCTCAGCCATTGTTATTGCCCTTCTGTCACCTGTACTCACAGCGAGTTGTGCTTACTTCATAAGGAATCCTGCTGAAGTGAGTAGGACTACTGTGGAGGAAGGCACTGCTCAATGTGATGTGGAGCAGAGGGAGAAGGGAGAGCTGCAAAACAGAGTCTGATTTCTTAGTACTTGAATATAAAGTTAACACTGTACACGGATACAAACTCCTACAGACAGGGTGTGAATTAGGGATGCTGTGGGAACTTTGTACTTCCTGACACCTGCATTGATAATTAACACAAATGTTGCTGTGACCCAAGAACCTCTTAATACCAACTGGCAAGGGGGTGCAGAGGATTCCAGGTTCTCCTGACTCTCGAGCAAAAGAATGTCACGTGAGGCCAGAAATAAGAGTCGGTGTTGAACTATTCATCAATATTGTTATGAAATGTATGTAAGAATACTATGTAAGGAGTGATGTATGTATACGGAACATATGTTCTTAAAGTCTGTCTGAGGGTTGGTCACCAGCAAAGGTAAAAAACAGGTTTTTTGTCAGACAAGAGGTGTTTAGCCATCTGTTTATTTAGATGTAAACTGAATGTTGTCTCATTCACAATGGGTCTCCTATCACCAGTCTGAACTGAATGCAAATGAAGGATTGTGAGAACTTCAGAATGGAACTAAAAGGAAGAAAAGAGCAGGGAGGGAGAACCTTATCTTGAGGTGCACCTCAAAGGTTTGTTCTACTATATTTGGGGGGCAAAGAAGATACCCAGGCATCGCTCAGCTAGGAAGTAAATGGACAGCAGATTTGCATCATGAAAGTGGGATCTCAGCCAGGCTGGGCTGAAAACACTGGAGAGAACTTTGGGTGAGATAAGCTTCTTTATCAGCAGGTCAACCTGTTAGTTAAGTTTAGTTAGTCTATAGAAAGAGCGTTATTTTGCTTTATATGTAACCATTTGATTCCAATATTCTTGCTCACTATTACTTGAATCTCTAGTCTTTAATAAACATATTCTTGTTTTCACTATAAACACTATCTAAGTGCTGTGAAGTAAAGTGATGATCCTGAGTTGAATCTTACAAGTGTGACAAAGTTCCCCCTCTATCTTGGTGGGTCCTGCGCTTATTGGCAGATTTTCTTGCCTCAGAGATTCACCATGTGGGTTGGGGAACAGCCCAGAGACCTTC